AAAATCTAGAATAGGATTATATGATAACATTCCATTAAATCAGCCTCTTTTTTTTTGAGGGGAAAAAGGTGCGTCTTATACTCCGAAAAATACGGTGTATGAGAGGATGTTAAAGGGAAAAACCCGGACAACACTTTGTTCATAAAAGATCTTGTAATAAAAAATAAAAACCTTGTTTTTTAAAAAAAGAAACATCTGCCTGAGAGACACTTGGGATTTAACTCTCCGCCTTCCGGGTGGAAGGCGAGCGTCTTCACCACTGGGCCACCATGCTGCTCATTCTAACACTCTTGCAATGCGCCATCAAAACGGAAGAAGGCGCTCCAGCAAAGAGTGTCTCTTACCTTGGACGGACTCAGCGGCCCTGCGTACGCCCTCACTGTCAGCATTGGATCCTTGGGGCTGCCGAGGTATCTGGGCAAAGAAGCGAGCGGGCTGCTCTCCGTTTGATCTGGGGACCAGGGGGCGCCAATCACGGGGGAAGTGGCGTTGTCTTCCGCTCTGAAGAGAGGCACGTAACACTGGCCTGGTTCACAAAGGAACAAAAGGGATATTCAGATGGGAGAGCCTCCAAGGAACCTGTGGAATTTTCTACGTATCTGCCCCTATCTCTGCTGCTGATGTTATGAAATATTTCTCAACTTGGAAAAGAAAAATCTAGGAATTGGAAGATTGGTAGAATGAAATGAAATGAAATGAAATGAATAGAAATGAAATGAAATATTTTAAACACGGTAATAGTATGTATCTAATGAGGATGTGTGAGAGTTGTATTAATACTTCTAAGTGAGTAATTATGTTAAATGCTTACTATATAAAAACTGAATTTGAAGACACATGTTACTTGTAGGAAACAGACAGAAAGGGAATGATGAATTTGATTTATCTTTAAAGGGAAGAAAAAATGATATTGTTTATGCATACAATAAAAATTAAAATTGGAAAATGCGAGAAGAAAAGTAATACGGCAAAAATTGCAAATGGAAATACTATGTTAAATGTATTATGTATATGTGAAAATGTTAAAGGGGAAATTGGGACAAGGTTTTGTTCATAAAAGAATTTCTAATTATATAACAAAAAAATTAAAAAAAACTTTTTGTTTTTTTTAAAAAAGAAATATCTCTCAACTTCATCACTGCCTGCACATTTTTAAATTTAAAATTTTAAGATATTTATTTGCTTAAATACGGCTGGTTTGATATCAGTAAAAAAAAAGAAATTTCTACATTAAATATCCTTGGGTCTTGGGTTGTGCCACTTGCTTTTTGAATCGCCCCAAAGCCAATGTGATAGAACGATGCCCCATCGACTGCCAAAGTGAAATACTAACCTTCTAAGTGTTCCCTGATTTTTGTTTTCAGATCTGCTGATTTATTTTTGTTCCTTTCACAGATTACCTGTTAGGCAAGAAGGCATAAGGTGTATTAGTTAAGCTAAGTCGCCTCGTATTTTGTACTTAAAAGGGGGACTGAGCTATAAAGCAGCATTTCACAGCCATGGCAACTTTTAAGACTGTGGACTTCAACTCCCAGAATCCCTCAGTCAGCCATGCAGGCTGAGGCATTCTGGGAATTGAAATCCACAGGTCTTAAAAGTTGCCGAAGTGTAAAGTGTTCTTAATGTGAAATCAGGATGTTTCTGAACATGGTTGGAATGCAACTTACATCTGCTGGAGTTTGACCGTATTTATTTTTGGGATTCTTTACGATGCCCGGATGGGAAGCAAGAACACTGACCACATCTGGATTCCCAAACTTGCAAGCGAAGTGCAGCGGAGTATCAAATACCTACAAAAAAATAAACGTACGAATAATCCATTATTATACACTGTTCCTGTGTGGATTGGGCGGATCTGCTTCCTATCTCCCAAAATTGTTTCTATTCTATTCTAAAAGCCTAGTTTAGGGACGACAGCAGTGGATTCTTGATGACGGTAGAAATGAGTGAGAGAGAATGCCGGAAGTCAAATAATGAGTGGATTTTTAGACAACTCTCCTTCAATTTGGAATGAGGCATTTCAGGTGAAAAGCTTTTGATCACAGGCCTGTATTTCCAGCCTGAAGGGAAGGAGTCTGGGCAACTGAATGGAGCTAGCAGGGTTTTAATGGCCAGATGCCCTTCCCGTTGCCAATGTGGAGTTCTGTTCAGCAGCTCTATTCTCATTGTGCCCAGAGAAAGAAATATCTTCCTCTACCTAGGATCGAAACCACAGCCTCCTGATTGTGAGACGAGAGCTCCACCATAAGGCCATCGCACCACTCCTGTCGGTGGCATTATGTATTTATAAATAAATCAATTGAATGGACCTGGGTCCTAAGTGGAGATGTGTCCGGTAGCATCTCCGAATGTGTCCGAGGTGGCCCTTGGTTTACTGCGAATATTTCAGCATGGAAACCAAGAGAGGCTCACCATTTTATCTGGCGTGTTCAGATAAAGATCCACTATGTAACTGATGCGCTTCTCCAACATGACGGTGTCATCGTCAGGATACATCAGACGCATAAATTCAGGGTTTTCCAGAGTGTCCAACAGCAGCCGGCAAACGCCGGGTTGATTCTCTTTGGCTGCCACGTGCATGACGTTGTATCGACACCCCTCCTAGAAAAAGAGCAGAGGTCATCACCATTTTGGATTCCTCCTCTCCAGCATATACGGAACTTCCTTTTTTTCCCCCTGGGGGGCTTTTTTCCAGACTCTGCTATTGGCCTCAAAATTAGCTAATAAAGAAAAACTGGATGTCACATCAAATTTGTGTATTTGGAGTCAGTTTGGTGTAGTGGTTAGGGTGTTGGCCTAGAAACCAAGTGACTGGGAGTTCTAGTCCTAGGCATGAAAGCCAGGAGGTTGACTTTGGGCCAGTCAATAGGTGACTGGGAGTTCTAGTCCCACCTTAGGCATGAAAGCCAGGTGGTTGACTTTGGGCCAGTCAACAGGTGCCTGGGAGTTCTAGTCCCATCTTAGGCAGGAAAGCCAGGTGGTTGACTTTGGGCCAGTCACCCAGTGACTGGGAGTTCTAGTCCCACCTTAGGCATGAAAGCTGGCTGGGTGCCTTTGGGCCAGTCCCTTTCTCTAAGCCTAAACCACCTCACAGGGTTGTTGTGGGGGGAGGGGAAGATAGGAGGAAGAAATATTAGGTATGTTCATCACCTTGAGTTATTTGTAAAGATAATAAAGGTGGGATACAAATAAAGAAATAAACTGCTCTGATGCCAAGACTGGCCCAAGGCAGCTACATATTTTCTTTAATAATCGTGCCAGGAGGGATTTGTTTGTCCTGCAGTTGAGAATGGCCAAGCCTCTCTCCCCCCCTTTTTTTTTACCTGGACAATCGTCGGATTGTCTCCAGAGCCGATGAGATAGCGAGGATTACTCCAGATGAGTTCTAAGAAAGCACTTTCATCTCCTTTCTCCACGGCTTTCCGAAGCTTTGCAGTCAAATCCTGGGTGCGAGGACTTTTGTAACTGTTGGCTCTTTCCTTACTGACCGTTTCCAGTTCAGGAGAGCACAAGCCATCTGTTAAGAGATATAAATAGCAGCGTGCCCACTCCTGATGCAATACCAGGCTCAAAAAAGCACATCGGCATTTGCAAAATGCAAACTTACTTATATGTACAAAGGTTTGAAATGGTACCCGATAGCTTCTGGTTCATTCGGCAACTTAGTAAGTGTGAATTTTATTTTTTAAAACACTTAAGGCAGGACTCAGCATCTGCGATCCTCTATAATAGGATTAAACGGTAACTTCCAGCATTCTTACCCCCTACTTAGAAGGTAAGCCTACGAAGCAGGTCTAACAGCTGACTTCGCCTCTATTAGCTTCTCTCGAGATTCAGAGGCTGTTCTTTTTTCATAATGCTGCAAGTTCATTTTTAAAGCACAGCCCATCCTCCTCTATAGTAATAGTCGGCATTTAAACCAGTGTAAAAGTCATTTAACTCTAAAAGCCATTGTGGAGCACATTTAAGCCTCCTGCTTACCTATAAAGATAGATCTGCTAAATGCTGGAAGTGTAATCAACCATCGGGTTCAAGGCCGGGACAGAAAAACAAGTTAAGAATTGGGGAACATGGTATTAAGAATGTGTGATAGGAATAGGATAAGTATTTGTATGATTAATAATTATATCAAAGAAAGGATCAACGAACAGGTAATCTGACTACACATACATATGTAATGGATATAAAATGTAATTGTTGTAAGATCTAATCACTATGTGGAAACGTGTATGCCAGAAATGTCCCATTATGTCCAATGTTTTTAATGTTTAACTAATAAAAAACTTTGCACAGCAATGGAAAAACGATGAGATTCCATTAGACGAGAATGTAATTAAGAAAATATTAGAATGCGCAGAAATGGCTAAATTAACACTCACTATTAAGGATAAAGAAGAGACTGATTAATTTTTTGATATGGGATGTATTTTATCAATGTCTAGACAACACAAACAGAAGCCAGAAAGGAAAAGACATAAAAAGAGGAAATATTAATATGAAGAGTTGTTGAAGAAGAGATTAAGCATTATTATTATATTATCAAGATTATTGTGATGAATACAACAAATGTGTGGATTATGATTGTTTAAAAATAACTGTGCCCATCACACGCTGTTTGATGGAAATTGAATGTTATATAAATAAAATAAATAAAACATGGGGGGAGAGCCTCTTGCTTACCTCTACCGAAGACCGAACAGACTTTGACAGGAGACAGAGAGACTGTAGACTTGTTTGGAGATGGGAAGTAATCACATACGCCTTTGGCAAATTTCTCTGCATCTTCTCTGTTTGAGAACGCTTTAAAACGTGACCCCTTAATCATTTTTACAGCTTGCAAAGCTTCTTTTTTGTCCTCGTAAACATGTACCCTTTCTGGGGGGTGGGAACAACAGCAGGGAAGTAAATTAATTTCTGATGAAAACAGAAGGCAATGCTCAAGTCAAGAAATATGTCCCTCTATTTTTAATCCCAAATCCTTTTTAGCTGCTTTATGAGATGGCGATTTACTGCAGAAAACACGCAGCTCAATTACGGTAAATCTGCTTTTTGGTGAATTTTTACCTTGGGGGGGAATAACTACAATACCACAGAACAACATCTATAAATTTTTTCCCCAGGGACTTGCACCTAACCGGTCAATTTTAAGTCAAAACTGCAAAGAGGAATTAAATTAAAGCCACAGAACTGAAAAACAAGAGCTAAACGGAGTTAAAATCGTCTCACTAAGATGATGGTGCAACGTTGGGTTGTTTTTTCACCAGCAAGTCAATTTTGTTCCTTGAGGAACCAAACCATCTTTTGAAAGGAACTTAAATTTGCTTAAAATCATGGCTCCAAGTCACAGGCAACATTAAAAAAATGATTAGATTTACAGTGTTATGTTTTCATGTCCTCCGGCACTGTTGCAAGGAGCCTCAAAGAATCTGTTGCATCTTCTGAAGCCTTGTTATTTCCTCCATTTCTGCTCAAGATTATGTAGTTCCAAAACAGGTTGCAATTAACAGCTTGATCTCATCTTGTTGGAACAAACCAATCCTTAATTCAGAACTGGGAATTTGGCCTGAAGGGCCAAGTAAGGCAAGAGCTAAGAGTTGGAGGGAGAGGAAAAACCTGTCTTTTAAGAAGACACCAGTCCCTGGAAAAATGGGGCAAGATGGATTTAACCTATGGGGCTGTCCATGAATTCAGGGAACCAAAGATTGCCAGTGTTGGATGTAACAAACAACTAGGCTCCTTTTAACAAGAGAAACAAATCTTTTGTGATTCCAAAAACAAGCGAAGTGGTGGGGTGGGGGTAGAAATGGAGGCAGCTTGCAAGCTCAAGATCCATGCAGAATTATCTCCTTCCTCTTAAGAGCTATACCTGTGATGGTGAACCTATTGCCCTCTCTGCGGGCACGCAAGCCATTGCCCAGCTCAACTCCACTGTGCATGCGCACGTGCCGCCCACCGGCCAGCTGAATTTTGGGTCTCTGCCACACATGTGGGAGATGCACGCACATGTGTGGGAGGGCCGAGTCACGTTTGCAGGGGGCAGGAGGGAGTAGCACGCTCACTCCGCACCCTGTTTTTGGTCCCAGGAGGCTTCAGGGAGGCCTGTTAGGGAGGGTGGGGGTATTGTGCATGCATGTGTGGGGGAAGTGTGTGGGCCACGCATACATGCACAGGGGATGTGTGTCATGCGCGCATTGCATTATGGGTGGGGCGAGGACAAAAAGGTTAGCTATCACTGAGCTATACTAAATCATCATTACTATATCCAGGTGGGTTTCAAATTTTTTTAGAACCTCTTCTGTAGGTGTGGCCTGCTTTGTGGGAGTGGCTTGCCGGCCATGTGACCATGTGGGTGTGGCTTGCCAGCCATGTGACCGTGTAAGAGTGGCTTGCCAGCCATGTGACCAGGTGGGAGTGGCTTGCCGGCTATGTGACTGGGTGGGTGTGGCCAACTTGTAAAATGTGGTGAAACTCACTTAACAACGCTCTTGTTTAGCAACAAAAATGTTGGCTCAGGAACTCTGGCATTGAAGTGTGCAAGTCTTAAAGCTGTCAAGTTACAAGACCTTTGCACTCCTAACCCTTTAGAAAAAAACAACCAGGTGTGTTCAAGCTTGACAGCTTTAAGACTTGTGGACTTCAACTCCCAGAATTCCTCCTCCAGTCATATTGGCTCAGGAGCTCTGGCATTTGAAGCATGCAAGTCCTCTTCATCTTGATGATGTGCGGACGGGCAGGGGGACGGAGCTAGAACCGGTTCTAAACGGCACGATAGATTTGTGGAACCTCTTCTATAGAAGAGTTAGAACTGGCAGGAACCCACCCAATCCAGCTGTTCTCTTTGGTAAAGAGAGAGAGAGAGACACTCCCCTCCGTATTTTTGTACCCCAAATGCTCCAATTTTGCACTGGCGGGAGGCACACACCCAGCAAATTCAAAATCATAATCCGTAAACAT